TGGTATGGACACGGACAATATCTACCAAACAATTCAAATAACACCCTTCAAAGCATGGTATGGACACGGACAATATCTACCGAACGATTCAAATAACACCCTTTGGACAATATCTACCGAACGATTCAAATAACACCCTTTAAAGCATGGTATGGACACTGGCGCTAGTCTCCCTATTTTGAAAGGAAGTAGGCAAACAATAGTTATCAAGCCAAAATTGGTACAAACTATTAAAATAGCGGTTTAAAGATTAAGCAAATGATTCAAATTGCTTAGAGCTAGAGCTAGCAAAGGAGTTATGCGAATTCATTGCGGAATGACCACGAGTTCATACGTTCTTCAATCATTCTAAACGTTCAAGAAAGCATGCATCTAAACAACTAAAAATTCGCTGCACTAGACTCATCGAGCGTTCCTAGTCGCCCTGTTGTGGTGTTCTTGACCCAACCTTGTCGTGTCCTACACTTCTATTTTTTTTTTTTGTGTGTAATCCACTACCTCTTTTCCGGGTTACCACATCTATATCACACTTTTTTCGTTAGGCATTCCCTATCGAGAACAAAAATTGATCGAGTGACTCAAAAGCCCAGATCAGTTCTTCTAATTCCATGTAAACGTGACGATCCTAACAAATCAAATATCACTGAATCAACAAGCATCAACAGTCGGAACCCATCATTCATAATTTCAACACACAAAAGTACATCATTGTTCACCATATATAATACGTACACCCACATAAAAACCAAGAGAAAAACAACCGCTGCTTTGAACTTCAAATCAAAACATTTGCACAACATGAGCCACCAAAGAGGCCTTGTTTTACTTAACTTACTCAACAATCAAACCACTCAAACCATCCACCATCCTACAAATTTCACTATCATTTCCTCCTTCATTCCTTCTTCTCTCTAAATACCCCTTTTGGAAGTTTACTCACAACTTTCTCGTTAAAAACCGCGTACCTCTTTTTACTCTCGACCATGATCCTTTGTGCAGACGTATCGATCTTACCCTTGTACTTCTCGTAAACGACTGGTACCGTGTGCAGCAATACGACCGCTGTTCAAAAAGACCAACATTGTGAGAAAAGTTCGAAACGGCACGAGTTTCGTGGGGAGTATCGTTAAATTATTACCAATGTAGAACAAGGTCAAAAAATTGCACCAACTTCCTATAACTGATAGAACCCACAAGCCAGCAACTACCTAACATTGTGAGAAACCAAAAACATTGTTAAGTATCTATTATTAGTACACCACAAGTTCATAAATGTACTTACAGCTAGAAACTTCTTCACGTCTCTCCCCGATGCTATATCACCCAACGTTGCAATGGCCCGGTTGATCACAGTTCTTGCTGCAGAGGCGACCTGCAGGAACGGTTCGTCCTTGATATGAGCTTCGGGAAGATGAGGCGGGCTCCTGTCAATGTGTCGAAGTTTTTGTCGAAATTTTGCATTAAAAAGTAAGAGTTCAAGAATGTAACACATAGTTTGAGGGCATGAAGGTTACTTGTAGATAAAAATGTGAGCATTGGACCAAAGGAATAAGAGAGCAACAACCAAGATCAAGGCGTAACATATCAATGGGAGAAGATGATATTCAAGGACTTCAAAGAACGCCCAAATCACGGTGGCTCCGCAGAGAACCCCGGCAGAGATCTTCTTGTTCTTCCATAACAACACGTCCGCAGCTACACAAATTACCAACTCATCAATAATGTTTATGCCAATATGCACAACTTCATTTCTCTCATACCCCTCAACAATTAACTATTGGAGTTAAAAATGAAACTTTGATTGAATTTTTTTTTTTAACTGCTTACAATTGGAGTTAGCATTGAAAACTCCACAATGACCAAGAGTTTAGATGACTCCACACGTATGTTACTGATAACCCATCTTGGAGTTACGGCAAAAAGTTTATATATTGATGACTTCAAGTACGTTACCAATGACCCATCTTGAAGTTATGGCTAAAAATTTATATATTGACGACTTAATTACGATAACCCATCTTGGAGTTACGCTAAAAATTTATATATTGATGACTTCAAGTACGCTACCAAAAACCCATCTTAGAAACTGCACGATGGCTAAGAATTCATATATTGATAACTTCAGGTAGGTACGGTTAACCCATCTTAAAAACAAGACAAGGAACTCATTTCCACTTCCTTAAATTACTTAAGGATTAAGTTTCTATTAACTCTCTTAACTAAAATAAACTCCTATGAAAAAGAGAGTTCAATATTACACAAATAAATTCATGATTTTTTCTTTCTTAAAAATTTAAAATAAAACAGAATAATTTTAAGATTTATACAAAAAAAAAAAAGGCATTTTAATGGGAAAAGAAAAAACAGAGGATGCGTACGCTTTCCGCCGCCGAGAACACGATGAACAGGCTGCTCGCTGTCGACCATTTTAGACCCCTGAGCCTCCTCCACAGGCGGCGAGGGAGGAGAATCGGCAATTTTCCCGGCATCCGAATTGTGAGACGGCGGCGAAGAAAGGGGTTCAGTTTGGTCGGCGACTTCCACCGCCATGGGTTCTGATTCTTTGGTTTCCAAGTGGTGTGCCATACCTATTTTGAAGACAATGAAAGGAAAATATGGAAAGATAAAAGAAAACAGAGGGTGATAATGGTGGGGGATTTGTGAAAGAGGTGGCGTTTTGATGGTAAGGATTGTTCAGGTACGTGGCTGCGGAAGTCTGTAAAATCACGACGGCTGTTTTCGCCGGAGACGTGCACGTGGCGGCACATTTCTGAGGACACCTAGGATTTTGGATCGATTTTGTTACATCCAACCCCATCTATTGCTTGCATTCTTAAGGTTAAAAAGTACTTCCTACTTTTTAATCAAAAATTTACTTTCCCATTTACTTGAATTCAAACTACACAACTCGATATTCCATTCAATATTAATCAAGTTATGAACTCAGCTTGTCCTTTGATTTGATTTGTTTGGGTGAGAATAGTTCGGTTGTCAATTCAATAAGTCTACCAGCAAGGTAAGTAGGTCCATTACCGGCCGGCTCCAGAACGAAAAGACCTAACGGAGTCATCCCTTATCTCGGATCGGAGATGCTAACGGGGCGGGAATCGAAGTGGGGGACCTCTCTACCACCTGTGTCTATCTCCTGTCAAGTATGCTCCCATAGACATAGACTGGTATTCTGAGGTTTAACCAATCAATAGAGAGATAGAATAAGACTTGGAAATGCTCTTGACAAATACGGGTAGGAAGCAATCTGGAAAGGTTAAGGGTAGTACGGCGGGTGCGATACGTTGGGTTTGTGTACGAGTCAAGAAGTGTGATATATAATGATCTTGTCCTGAGATGAATGCTCTTGATCTTGATAGGCTTTGTGACTAGCACCACTGGAGTATTAGGCGGGTTTGAAGTGGAGTACGGCAGCTTGGCCCAATACTTGACTCAATGGGGGTATCAGGCTCGAGAAAAGTAGGTAATGCTATATTATGCTTGATACCTGGGATCTTCGGGAATGACTAAGACTCGACTAAATATAGAGTTGATAACGGGATGTTATGAGATATAATTTACTTCATTCCATGTAGTAAAAGTAAAGACCGATTTCAAGACTGAATAAAATCTCATCCTCTCACTCATAAGAGTGTTAGAATGAAATTCCCACAGGCTAATTTAGGGAATGATCATGTGTTGAATGATCATGAGTTTATAATAAAAAAATACTCTCTATTGTTATGAGATCTTTTGGGAAATTCCAAAGTAAAGCCATGAGAGTTTATGCTCAAAGTGAACAATATAATATCATTTTGGAGAATCGTGTTCATCTAACCGAGAGGACTTAATTTAATCACTAGAGAAATAGTTAATCATAATAAGACTCCTGAACATGGAAGGGCAAACTCTAGAGAGTTGACTGTCACGATAATGGTAAATTGGGAAGAACTCAATGATAAGAGTTAAGTAAAGAGTTTATCAGTTAAGAAATGCGAGATGACGCTTAATATGAAAGAATACTTTGGTAGGGATCGAGTAAATGTTAATGAGATAACGCTACACTGTGATCGAAGAATTGACCCTCATAACTATCTATGTGATTTGAATAATATGTCCCAAGGATGACTCTAAAACGAGCTTTTATGGACGGCTGGACATGTCTGAATGGTTGTAAAGAGGCTAGTAAGAGTTAATTACTTTTGTCAAAGAGTCAAGCTACCCTAACAAGCCAATGGGAGGCGAATATTGAATGAAAATGTTTTTGCGATTTAGAATGGGTCAAGATGCCCAAAAGTGGTTGACGGTAAGTCTCTTGAGGCCCAAAAGTGGTTAACGGTAAATCTCTTAAATTTAGCGTTAGCATAACTCGCTAAATGAAGACAGCTAAATGAAGACAACTAAATGAGTCTCACTTGTAACATCAAGACTAGAAAACTTGGTTAACATTTTAGATAACTCTTAGATAGTCTTAAAGATAACTTTCGATTGCTTTCGTATTATCAAGTATGTTTATATACTCACTCATACTACTCTATCTTTATTGTAGCTAGAACGATGGCATGAGAGATCAAGAATGTTAGTTCTCCATACGAGATTTTCATGGTTAGTTTAGAACTTGTATTTACTTTATAATAAATGTCAATCAAAAGAACCCATTTTCAAAAGTTCAACTCAGAAAATATAACTCAAGAATTGTGTCAAGGATTGTTAATGAAACTTAAAGTTCACATGGAACTTTGTGGATGATACAGAAAAATGTTGAAACAAATCAAAGACAAACTCGTGTTTATTCCATTCTATGCCCAACAAATGGAATTTCAAGATACAAAAACATGAAGCTCAGAAACTTTTTAGCCTTTCAAACAATTACAGCACCATGTGAACTGAACACAAACCACTCCCATGTAAAAGAATCAATTGAACAACATTACAGGGCTTTATCATCATTAACAACACACAATAATCTGTACTTTTCTATTAATTACAAAATCCCATGGAAGAAGAAGATCTCAGTATTTTGGGAGCGGTCTAGAATTACAAGTGTTCTCAGATGATGTGAGAGTTACTGTTGAGAACTCAGAATCCGAGTGATGTCTTGAAAGCCGAATATCACCACCACCAAAGGGACGGTTAGTTGATTGAAGATGTGAAGGAAAAGGTGATCTTGAAGAAGAATCAGATGTCGAACCATTTGGACCAGTAGCGCCAACATTCGGACTGCTGAGTTGGGGTTTTTCCTGAAGCCTGAGGCTTGCCTCGGCTTCTCTTTTCTCTCTTTCTTCAGTTTCCTTGAGGAGAAAATCAACCCACAAATCTGCAAAGGACTGAAAGGGACAGCCAAGCTTAGAACATTGGCTACATTTATTCACAAAATCAAATTCTACTACGATAAGGTTCAAAATGATATCGATCTTCGAACACTAAAACAATAATTAGCTTCGTCCCTAGCCATGATTCTACCATTCTTTTGTTGAATAGATGAATAGCAAACTGGAATATGTACATTAACGTATTGAAGTGAGAGCGTATATTGAAATCACATATACTGGCTTCAGAGGATTTTGGGTGAGATAAGACATTGATGATAAAATAGTTTTTAGATTTTTGTCTCATCGAGTGATGTACCTGATTATCCGATGCCATATCAGCAGGCATCTCCGCAGAGCTTGCCCCCAAAATCCCACCCACCAGGCGACCAGGGAGGCCCAAAACTCCACGTACAACGCCCTTGCTTGGACCTTGTCTAGCAGCTCCTACCCTCTGCTTGTCATCTTCAGAAAATCCAAGCATACGGACCATAAGATCCAAGACCTACAGATGCAAAGCACAAGAACTGATTGGATGAAAATTTGGAAAGGGAAAACGAGTCAGTATGAAAGTGTGCAAGGCTGAGTGGGGTATTTTCTAGCCTCAATGTGCGTTTGGATATGGTGCTTGGAAGGATAGAAACCCCAAAATGTGCAAATCCTTTTATGGAATACCTTTTCGTGAATTCTGAAAGCATTAAGACTTCAGACAACGCAACAAAAAAATACTCAGAGAGCTGTGTCTTTTGTTTGGTGCGTTTTTCAGAGCAACAGGAGCCACTGAAGATGACCACTTGTTGTGGTCGAAGTTCTTAAACAGCTTTAGTTCAAAATTAAAATGGAGATCTCCCTAGAATATAGATCCATTATGAAGCTGCCAAATTTTTCTTGATTCAATCCTCCGTTTATGAAAAATGCTAGACTCTACAGTACAACCTTTGAACCACCACAGAGAATTTGGCTACCAACAAAAGCGTACAATTATGCTCTTTTCCTCTAATTTATTAAACCTTTGAAAATCTTTTTTTTAGCATATTCCACTACTACAGCTAATTACTAATTAGAAGGTAAAAAAAAGAAAAGGACGATTTATTTCATTGAAATTATTAATCGTATTATTTCTATTTTGATAGTCCTCGCCATTCAATTTACAACTAAACTGAACAAAAGAATTAATTAAGCTAAAAGTTTCGATCATTCTTTTCATAATTGTACCTAGCACAGTTCTAAATTTCAATTACGATTTTGATTCTAGTCAAACTTTGCTTCCATTCTAATGTCATTCCAATCAACGAACCAAGTAAACTTGCCAACTCTAAAAGAACGTAATGTTATGTTCACATGTCTGCAGACAAAGTGAATGCAGGGGAAAAACACGGAGCTTATATTACGAGAACTGTGCAAAAAGCATACATATAATAATACCTCTTTGCTGTGATTTCTCTGGAAGTACGTCACCAGTAATTTGATCACAATACGCCTGCCAAAACTCCCCAACAAGCATTAGTATTAGAACTCCACGTGATCAAATTGCACAGGAAAAACATAATTGAAGGAGTAGTTTTAAGAACACCAGATATGGAGAGAAGATGGAGTTCATGAAGTACACGTGATCCTTCAAAAGAGCAGATACAATGGGGATAGCTAGAACTTCAATTTGGAGCGACAATAATGACTAATCAACCAAACAATAGTTAGTAGCTTGTCTTTGGGAAACTTGACAGCAGATCTTTCCTTCGCAATTTGAAAAGGCCAGTACCCTAAAAAGGTAAACACTCTTTGTGGACAGCTCGTCTTCATGACCTTAATGCAGCTAATATATTAGTGCCTATATGATAAGCCTTAAAACAAGCTTGGTGTTCTCTTTGCTTGGAAGATTTTAAAGGAGTGAACCATTAACTTCATTCTGTTGGCAAGACGATACAGGTTTCTTTGCTACAAATTTTTAGCTTCAACTGGATTCCTCATTGCTTTAATGATGGCAACTCGGTGTAGTTTTAAAGTGTACCACTAAGTGGAAAGCATAGATTTCTCAAGGCTATAGTTATTATGTCTATACTTCGGAGCATTTAGTGAAAAAGATGCACTGGAAGTTTCAAATTCCAGGATTTAAATTATACTCCATCTATAATTAACACAATCTTTTTGTGTGGGCATCTAAAGGTGATGGGGATGTTAAACATGTGCAATGTAAGTGGACTGGAAAAAAATATGTAAGGGTGTAAACTCCCAATCAAAATTTGAGGATTTACCTGTCAACAAGAAAATCTGAATCCACTGACATCCTATTCAGCCTTGTCATACTCTGGTCAAGTGCGCGGCGCAGCTTTGAATTATCTTCCTCAAGTTTATTTACTCTGCTTCTCCATTCTACCAATGCACTTTCAGAAAATGAAAGCTTTGCCAAAATTTCTTCCTTCTCCTTCTTTAATGCATCCTCTCTTTGGTTAGCCAACTGGATAATGAAACAAAGTATTAAGCAAAAATGAGAAGAACAAAAAAGGGAAAAAGGTAACAAGCATCAATCATACAATTTAAGTAGTCAAATATCATCAGTTAGCTGCGGAGGCAATGTGGATCCTTAATCCAAAAAAAGTAAGTCCACAATATATCAAATGTGAAAAATGATCAAGCTGAAAGTCTCGATGCTTATTAAGAGTCTGAAAGTGATAAATTGACAAATGACACTGATAATTTCACTAAATCCCTGAAATTATGTTGAACTCTTCATGGTCCACTTATAAAACTAAGACGCGAGATTAATAGAAGTATGGTAGACAGAGTAAGGACAACATACTTCTAACATTTGAGACAATTTAGCTTCTTCTTCTCTTTCCCGAGCCAAATCACTCTCCAAGTGTTCCTAAAATTCAAAGTAAAAATAAAATTATAAAACAAGCAAATAATGGCATGCTTTGATGCTCATTGCGCATTCCTATAAGTTATTACAAACTCAAATTAAATTTCATTATTCTTTTACCTTAGCTTCAATTTCTGCATAGTACTGGCCGAGTGCAGTTTGAAGATTCAAAAGTTCAATATTCTTGGAATCTATAATACTCATATAGTTTGCAACTTTTCTGTTAAGGTCTTCAATAAGTTCCTTAGATTTCTGGAGTTCATTATTCGTATACATCTCAACCTCCTCCTGAGTTGCAATTGCCTGACTCAATGCTTTCTCTAAATGCAATATCTGGCCCCTTTGATGTTCATTATTTTTCCGAAGTTCTTCAATAATTCTGTTATCTTCATCCATCTTTTCTGACTCCTCAGATTCCTTGATAGAATTCCAGAAATAAAATATTAACAATAACACCCACACAAGCTAAAGCAAGTTCTAAAGATAAACGCTAGCACACAAAAGATCCAAACTTTTGCCAAAAACACTCACAACGAAAAGAATATAAACAGAAGCATTGCAGCACCGTGATAATTGATTTGCAATCAGCTAAAAAACATCAATCTGAACATATTTACCTTTTTCTTGAAAAAAAAAATTAGTATAATCACTAAATACAATTGAGTTATCCTTTAAGGAACTCGCAGTGATGTTTGATCATAGGCAGCTCATTCTTCCAAGAAAATTGAATCTCAACAATGATGTCAGTTCTCCATTTAAAAAATAAAACAAAAGAGTTTGTATGCAGTGACCTCAACCAGACCCCGCATCATCCCACTTCTTGAATGAACTGGATAAGATTAATAATATATACATGATTTAACAGTCCAGATTCATAACCATATCATAGATTTAATTTGAAGAAAGAAAAAAAAAAAGCAAACTTGAATATTGTCACCCACCTTCACTGATAGTAAGATAATCAATAAATGGTAAAGAGAATAAGGTCATAAGCTTGATAAACATGCACTTCAGATTGTATATCACATAATGCAACTTCAGAGGCTAATAATATAAATGACCATACTGCAGTGTCGAATATCAAGCCCGCAAACTAGTTAAGACAGGAAACCTTTTCCAATAAATGCTGCTTGAGACGTGATAGTTCATGCACTGCTTTGTCTCTCTCTTGCTGTATATCCTTCAAATCTTCCTTCAATTTTTGCAATGTTAGATCCGTATCTTCTTTTCCGGGGGGAATTCCAAATGGGCCTAATTTCTACTTTAAAAAGAAAAAAGAAAAAAAGAGCAATGAAAATAATAAGAAAAGCTACCCTGAAAATTTTGACAAAACATAGAAAATCAACCTACAACAAATTAACGTCACTATCGATGTATTTAACCAGTACATGCAAGCAAATCTAGCACATACAAGCAACCTGCAGTGCTTTATGAGAAATCAAACAATCTGAACAGCTGATAGACAGATTAGGTACCCTACTAGATTATGTTTATCAGAATTACCTCACTAGAACCACTTAGGTGCCGATTCGCCTTTTCTAAAGAACTTGATGGGCTTTCAACACTTGAGGATTTTCGGCGCTTTTCCAATGTATCTTTAAGTTCATTTTTTTCCATCTATACATGAGATACAGGAAGCAGTTGATATTAAAGAAGGAGAACACAAAAAATTGTATGAACAAAAAAACACACTTCTCACTTATTCCAACCAAAATCTAAAAATGGTTAGCGACCTCCAGAGTACTCTTTTCTTTCTCCAATTTTGCAACTAATCTCTTCAATGCCTCCACATTATCATCAGACTTCGTATTCTCTCTTCTATTCAACTCAACATGCAACTTCTTTACTTCTAATTTCTTCTCATTAAGTTCTCTTAGAATGTTGCTCATCTCCAAAGATGCCTGCTTAAGAAAAGAGACCATGTTAGCAAGCTTAAAAAAGAGGCATATTATATACAATTACTAACAAATGTGCATATATATCTTCAAGAGACATTCAAAAGAACAAGTTAACCTATAGTAAGGAGTGGCCAGAAAGTAACAAGCCAATCATATATTGGTGATGCTAGATATTCGTGCAGACAAGTGAATGCTGGGGCACACCTATGCTCTAAGGGCACATTACATAATAAAAAAAACTCATAAGAGAGCCCCAAGTTCCTATTACTTTCTTTAGTGTCTAAAAAAAGAACAAATTTCACATTTGAAGCTGTGATTCAATTCACAACAATTCTTTTTTGTCTTGAAAATAGACAGCAGCATGACTTTAGCCCCAACAAAGTTTGATCCCTTTGGTGCCCGATCCTTAAGAGGATGATAGGAACCTTCTAGGAGCTAGCCGCAGGAAGAACAAGTAACACGGTTGTTCAATTCTCTTAGAAAAGTGGGAATGCATGGGACTCGTGGATCCTTACCTGAGAGGAAATAAAAATTCCCACAGGAAAGTCTAAGCTAATAAACTTCTAAGACATTCCACACAGAACATGAAACTAAAAGAGAACAACTTGTGCATAAGGTATACATACAGTTTGAAAATTCAACAGCAAGTAAACTCATAAATAATATCCAAATTCAAACTTACTTTGTCCTTGTTCATCATCAGAGAGCTCAACTCTTCCTGGAACTTTTTGTTCAATTTTTGCTCCTCTGTAAGAAAGAGAGGGAGATGAATCAGATCTAGCAGGGACTCAACGGCAGTTGAAGAAATTACAATAAGCAGGTATATATAAAATATAGCAAAGACGGATCTTTCAAACTTCATGGAGAAAAAATGTAACCTTGTAATCTTAGTTGCATATCTGCTAACTGTCCCCGTTCTTGATGAAGCTCCTTCCTTGATTGTTTCATCTCAAGAGTAGCTTGCGCATCTTGTGGTGATCCAATATTCCCTTCTTGCAAATCCGCAAGCTCCTAGAAGGCATTCATATATCTGTTTGTCAAGTTCATTCATCATTAACAAATAACTAAATAATCAATTCAAATAAGTGGTTCATTTTCTAAAATTAAAAACATTAGGGATATGCTATCGTGATGCTAAAAAAACCCAAGCCAAAAAAAACTATTAAATCTGAAATTGAATAGGGTGTCAATAGAATACTGGCAAGAAAAATTACAAAAGTTCTAACCGTTCAAGAGGATTGATCTTTCTTCCTAGACACTCAAACTAACGAAACCCTAAACAAATTACCTACTAATGGCTAATATGCTCCTAATATCTTAATAGTAATCTGATAGAACAATAGGGAGCAAGTGTTTTGAGGTATCCTAATATAAGAGAGGAAAACATAGAAATGCAGACACTTGAGAGTTCTGTACTCTCCCATAATATACAAGACCTATGCACAACTGACTGAGGCCCCCGCAAAGCCCCATACAATAACAAAATACTCCTCTGTTCCCTGACCCTAACGATTACTGTTGATTTATTAATTTTTTTCCTGCATAAATTGGAATATATGTTCTCTATAACAGGGAGTAAAGATATTACCGTATCCTTTACCCGTGAAGTTGAATGTTCTGGTATCATCTTACATTGGTGATCAAGTTTTCCAGAGTGTGAAGCTCCATTAGTAATTCCATCCTGCTTAGATATAATACCATTACGTCGGTTCTTCCCTCTACGCAGTTGGCTAGGTGATTGATCACTTCCCTGCAAAATTATCAAAATATCCAGAAAATTACAATAACAAAATACTTGGCTATGACATAATGATAATCATTTTAAACAGAAGGGAAAAAAAGATATATTGTCATAAAATAACATCACGGGAAAATATAAAATATTCCAAAATGAGATATAGCCAAGTGTACATCCTTTCTTTAATCTTTCTTTAATCTGACAAAAATCATCTAGAATTTTCTCAAAGTGGAACATCATTTGTAACTTCTGATAACTATGATGACTGTATTGATGAAGAATTAAAATTTAATGACTTGTTTAAGGAAAGGTAATACATTTCCATGTTTTCTACATCAGTACCATATCTAAAAGACTGTAATACTAAGACAATAATATTCAAACTCTGCAGGAGACCAGATATAGCCCTTTTGTGTGCCTTTGCCTTTTCTTTCGTAAAATTTTCCTCCTTTCTACAAAAAGTCTGTAGATGACCAGATGATCATTCCCAAAAAATCACCATTCATTAAAACAAATGAAAGTACAAAAAGAGCTTGAACAGGAAAGAATACAGCCCCACCATCATGCAGACCTTTTTTAAAAAACAAATAAGAAACGATCATTTCATTGTCAAAAGAGGTACAAATGGTAAGTTTGCCACAACGAAGCCTACAGTCTAGGGAATGAATACATGACCTCATGTGGAATTTATCATGGGCCATTATACTCGGTCAATTTAAACCATGTTATCTTAAGTTAATATAAAAAAAAGTATACCTATTTGTAGTCACTGACTTCTTTGACCCAACCTTATACTTGATCAATTGGATATCAGAGCCTCACAACAGAAAATAAACATCAATATATGATACACGAGAGTGTATTAAAAAAAAAAAAAGAAGCTACATTCATGTTTTGGAATAAAAACTTGAAAAGGAACATGATGTAAAGCTAGAAAGAAAATAATCTCCAAAGGCAGAAACTCTGCACTACAACTACATAAATATAACCCTAAGACCAGACCATGGATAAGGCGCATCCTCAAGTATCATCTTTATTAATGAGAGAAAAAAAAAACATTGATGAGATGAAATTTAACGTCAATTAACAAACTCAAATGCTGTTTAACATCTTTCCATGCAGCATAAGCATCAAAGCAGAATCAGGGACTGGAATAACATTGAAAATGTCGTTATAAAAAATGAGTGCTTCTGACACACACGACCACAAAATCAAACACAGCCCAATATATATAGCAATCAATCAAGCTCATAATTTTTTGTAAGAGTTGCTCATAATTTTTCATCAGCATTCCAATAACTACCTTCACATCATTAGTTCCATTTGCTGATGATTTGGAACTTTCATCTCTAGGTGAATTTGTGGCGTCCAAATTTTGTTTTAGCCAGCCATTTTCCTTGTTCAATCGTAAGATTAACTCCTGCCAAATGGAATGAAACATGAAATAACAATAAATTTCCAAGGGTATTTAATATATTACATCAACACATAATAAACAAGTGGAACATTGTGGTCCATGCGTGTCCAAGGTTGATTTTGCATTTCATCCCAAATAGAATAGAGAAAGCCTGCTACTATTCATCTAAAAAGTAATACACAATGCACCATAGAATCATATTATTAATTATCTTATATAACACCAAATGAATTTTCAATAATAACTTCTGTCAAAAAGAGAAATTAGAATAACAACAAAAGATAAAGAAAAAGATACTACCCAAAAAATGAGTAAAAAATAGAAATAAAATAAAATAGTACTTTAATTATAAAAAGATCGAGCAAGAAAAAATAAAATATATGAAGGAGCTATGGCGTGGGTCAGCATGTGAAAAAGTGAGTAGGAGAGTATTAGCGTGTGTGATAAAGAGAGGGAGTCAGCCCCCAAGGGGCAGCTTCATTGGCCCAAGGTCTCTAAGTATTACAAAACCAGAGGTCACATGTTCAAACCATGTCTCCAAGTCTAGTTTTTAGGGCAAGCACGGTTCTTTTTTAAAAAAAAAAAAAAATTAGAGATGGAGAGTTGATTCATGATGACAAAAGAGAAGATAGAAAAATAGTAAGCGTCCCATGCAACATGTAAGATTTCAAGTAATACATGCCATTTATGCTTTTGTCCAACAATGGAAGGGCACTACAATCTTTTCCTTTTTCATTAGCCAGTAACAACCCTCCTTATCATAGAAAAATGCAAGCTAAGAATAACATCAACAGAATCTAATAATTATTACTTAGAAACCATTGGATATGGCTCCATAATACATGAAAATAGAACTATGAGTACAAAGGTAAACTCCAAGGAGCAACCTGATACCTCTTTTTCCTTTAGCAAAGCAGCATAATTCATTGATAATGATTTAATATCCCTCTCAGATTCCTGAAGCCTCTTAATTTCCGTTTTGTATTTTTCAATCTACAAGGAAGCACAATAATTGAAAACACCATACATGATTTAAAGTCATGAAATTAAAAGGAAACCGAAGATAACAAAGCATAAAGATATAGGCAAGTCTAAAATAACTTATTCTAGGAAGATAAGTTTATAAATTAAGAAACATATGACATATACATAAAAAGAGCATCGTGACTAACAAGTAAGCAACAGTGCTCATAAACCCCAATCCCAATAACGCGCTCATAAACCCCAATCAAAATGCAGCACCTTCCCACAATTCAAGCTAAAATAAAAACCAAGTTCATAAACATTTGGGCACCTCAGGGTGACGAGCATCCTCAATCCCATTCGTAATCGGCGACCGCGTCACCGAATTCGAATGAGCAAAGCTATGCGAGTTCCTCCGATCAGAAGCAGAGACATCACCATCCCCTCCATTGGAGCCATAAATCGCGAATTCCTCTTCGTCATCGTCGTGGTGCACATCGAGAGCTATCTTATTCAAATTCTCTTTAAAATTAGCTATCGAGCTCCACATTATTCAAACACCAGAACCCCAGAAACCAGAAATGGCTCCTAAATCCCGGTATACGATCAAAATAATAGGATTTTGCACCAAATTTTTGCAAGAACTGGAGAGGAAATCAGATGGAGAAATGAAATTTGGAGATCTGAGTCTGTAAGTTGGTGATGACGAAACGTATTTTGTTTCGAACACGATTTTGGTTTTCTCTGCCTTCTGAAACGTTTAGACAATATGAATCGTTCGTCGTCAACTGCACTACTCTGTCGGTTTGGAACAGTCGATACGTCGATCTTTGCACAATAAATGAAAGATCCAAGGCTTGGATAATTACTCTATCTTTCTCTCTCTCTTTTTTTTTATCTTTTTTTTAATTATTTAATTAGAGTTTGATTTTTTTTTGTTCCCACATTTTTTTTAATCCCGTATCAACTTTAAAATAGGGTTATAATCTAATTCAATCCAATCATACTCTGGTCCTAAGATTATTATATAAATGAAGAATAGTTGACTTTTATACGTGAGGTCAATGATGTTTTACAATTGGATCCAATCATGCCTTACTTTTAAGATTATCATGTAAATTAAGAATGTTTGACTTTTCTATGCCGCGCTACGTTGTGACTTGTGAATATTTGATATTTGAGTTCATGAGATTTTAGTTATTAATGTAATATATATTGAGACAAGTAAAAAAAAATTAATAAAAAATAACAACGTGATAATTCAACTCAACCTAACTTGAAAATAAAGAGTTTAGGTTAGATTGTGAAGTCTGTTCGAGTTGTTTGGGTCGTCAAAATTTTGGGTCAGTCTAAAAGATTTTCCTAACTCAACTCAATTCGTGTAGATTTTGGTGGATGAACCTTAGATTATGTTGTCATTCGTAAATGGGGCATCGTGTTTACTTGAAAAGATGTTAAACGTGACTGAGTATTAAAAAATATCTAGGAAGTGACTCAACTATTGGAGTCTAGAAATGTAATCACATGCAATCATTGTTCGTTGTTGGACCTACTTTTCGTGACTATTCCTTAGGCTCTACTTTCTTTTTCGAGTAGGGTTGGATGCATAATACTTATCTACACACGGTTCACGCATGCACGCATGAACCCACTAGGCGTGCTTGTATATGTACATAGCTAGTGTTGGCTCGTGTTGTCAAAAACTATAGATAAAAGAAAGAACGTGTATCATATCATGGTGTACACATCTATACAAAACATATTGAAGAAGTATCTTGTGCTTGTGACATACAACAGGTAGGAAATCTCATATTTTCCAATCATTATATGATGCAGATCTTACTTTCATATTTTTCATGACATAACCTTCCTACGAGGCATACTTATGTGTACATGACATTATTTATTCTTATCATACATGACTCATCGAGCGTCTCATAGAGCATAACATGAACATGGTATCATAGCATACATAATCACAAAAATTTCATAAACATCATATCATACAAGTAAAAATACATAGGTACGTCATAGTACGTGTTATTCATGAAACATACAATTCATCCAAATCGTAGGCCTAAGATAAAGTCACAAATTTCTTGTGTTGACATTTGTTGGATCACGCTTGTCGTGTTCTAAGTATACCTATAGTGTGTCATGACATCATATAGGTTTGGGGCTGGGTCGAGCTAAAGCACAGGTGGCTTTGTAAGCTTTTAAGCTAATTTACAAAACAAAATTTATACCACTACTCAACCACTAAGAACGAACATAATTTCATAATCTCACGGCTCTAGAACAAAACGTTTAAAGTAGGTATCATCTTACAAAAAAAAAAAACATATCATAAATGAATATAAAATATTCAATAAGTAGCTCATTTGGAAGTTCAAGTAAATATCAATCATGAACGGAATGAACTATTTATTCACACAAATAATAAGTGTTGTAAGTGATTGACCACGAACTATACCTTTGTAGATATCATGGTTGACAAGTCTCATTATTGTGCTCAAACAGAAACCTAACAACTACTAAGTTATCAACTAACATATTTCTAAAGATCCAACTACATCAACAATCAGGGAGAAGTTCTACGAATTTAAAGTGAGATCTTGTAAAACAACCACGCAATGCCTGAATCTGCAAGCAAGCGAGCCTCGCCGCGTGTCACGGTCCTACATTTTTTACCGTGCGGTGCCGTGATCTTGACACACTCACGACCAGCCTTAAAGGAAATTAAGCCCCATATATATTTTTCGTCCCAGCTTTGTGGCTTCGTCGGACCTTAGGCGAGGTTTGTCTTCGCCAATCGAACATGACTTATGTGGAATCCAAGCTTGTTCAACCACACATGCCGCCTGCGCGTGCATGTTCAATCGTCTGCGACACATCCGACTTGTCTCTACACTAGGCCAAGTCATTCGACTCGACCTTGCCTCTGCTCGGGCTAAGGTCTCTCAATGCAACGTCGCATCTCATCTTGTCATCTCGAACCCCATCGACATGGTCCATATGTCTTGACGCTACCCCAAGTCTTGGGATGTCGTCGGCCATCATAACTCGCTCGATCATTTCATCGAGAATGGGCCTGCATGTCGTTCATCTCATCGGGGCTTCCCGAACATCCATTCATCTGGGTTGTATCGAGGAATTGGCCCTCTCGTGCCCATGTCGAGTCATTTACGGATACCGTACCGAATAGCGGGTGTATGTAGCAACCTCCAACACTGGGGCTGGGGCTGGCACACCTGTGCCATCCGGTACTGTCCTTCAAAAACTCATTTCAAAGGAAGTCGCCCGAGACACTCGTTTCGACATGCTCGCCCACACTGTGACACACATATGTGCCACAGGGTAGCTCACTTAGGCCACAGGGCCCAGGGATGGTGAAGAGCTAACACCATGGTACCCCATAGTACATTTTGAGTCATTTTCAATCTTCCACGCATAGACATGATTTTGGTGAACGGTCATATGGTGTCGTGCATTGTCCGTCCGGTATCCGATTGACACCAAAGTTGGCGAGCATTCATATTTCATATGGACGGGATTAATTCCCGAACCGCATGCCCAAATTCCTTCCGAAATCCCGACTTTCGAGGTTAAGGTCCGGGGCCCTACCCAGCCCTTCAACAAGCCTATCTTTGTCCCTCATGTCTATTTGATGTATCTATCTTGTTTATGTCTCAACTAGTCTTCAATGCCCACTTCTGTCCCTCGTGTCTATTTGATGTATCTATCTTGTTTATGTCTCAACTAGTCTTCAATGCCCACTTCGAGTGGATGATGCACCGTTCTCCTCGGTCGCATCATGACACTCGTTTACGCCCTCGCGTGGCTGGATGAGTGCCATTTGAGGGTTGTCGCTTCTATTGTTGCAACGTGAGGATCACATTCTCCCCCACTTAAATTAGACATCGTCTCCGATGACATATTTGGGAGCACAACCATTGTTGGGTTGTGACATCGACATCGCGCTCCATCTAGACAAAAATGTGAGCACGGAGAGTGAAAGATTGCTTGCTTTACTTTACCTTTGATTTATTTTTGGACGATATTAAGACCAAATTTCTAAGTTTGATTACTCTTTTTACCGACCTTTACTCTTCGTTTCTTCTTTCTCCCTACCTTTTTTTATCTTAGAAGTTCTTTCATTTTTGGCCATATATGTGAAAACCACCACGAGAGCTAAATTCATACTAACGATGTTAGGCGATAAGTTAATAATGGTCATATAGACATCGAGGTGCGTTAACATTTATTCATATTGAAAACGACAGCATGATCATGTATTACTTCTAAAGCAAGGCATTTTGTTTGAATTAATTTTGTCCCTTTTGGATTAAGTCTTAGCATTTACAAAATTCAAATGCCTTTTTCTTCACTTTGAAAGTTCTATTTTCACCCATCGCTCTTGTAAATTAGTCAATCAATTTGACCGAACGAATCAGATTCACGAATATTAATTGATAGCACCACTTTCTACTTCATTCGAGTCATCGAATAGGTTTAGGTATGAATTAATCGTGCTTGAGATAATATCCTACCACATCCTTTATTACTCGAGTTAAATGTATACTTACCTCAACCAAATCAATAGTTCCAAGTCAAATATGTTACCGATGTTTAGGGTTAACCAAACAAAAAACGAACCACACAACCCGAGAAGTGACCTAAAAAGAAGAGAAGCGGACCAATGTTTAGGGTTAACCAAACAAAACCGAACCGCACAACCCGAGAAGTGACCTAAAAAGAAGAGAAGGGGACCAGTGAGCCACACCTTCGACAGGCCATCTGTTGTAGGGCCAAATCCCTTTGGTAAAACAGAAACAGACCATTCCAACTCAAAATCTCAACACAAAGCAACAACAGAAAATAAAAGCAAAGATTCGTAATCAAAGACACAATGGTCGAAATGGGACATGGCTGTAGGTTCTAAAACAGGGGAGTTCATATTCAAAGAAACCCACAATTTATAAATGTTTCTTCATTCATATCACAAGTTCAGAACATTTGTAATAAAATCAAATGAAATAACCAACAAAAGGAAGCAGAGAGAGTACTGGTTTCAGAGCATATCAAAAACATAATCCAAAACAGAAAAAAAGAACAAGAAAAAAACTGCTACCATTATTGAGAAGTCTAGATAAGAACTATGAAAGATCTGACCTTCTTCTTCGTGTTCATCTTCGCCATCATGTTCATCCATGGGTGTTCACAGCTTCCCAAAGCAAGTTTTTAGGAACAGGGTTGGTCAAATCTCTTGCCTGCAAAGCAGCTGTTCTAAGAGTTCTAATGGTGCGGACATTAGCATCCCAAAATGACAAGCTTCTATAAGGAAGATTGTGTTTCTTGCAAAGCTCCACAACAATTGGAGAGATCTTCCTCAATTGGCATCTGGGCATCCTTGGAAACAAATGATGTTCAAGCTGAAACTGTAATCCACCAAAAAACCAATCCATCCACGAAGAACAAGAGATATCCAAAGTCCCACTAGTTTGCTTCTCAAACCAATCATTCCCTATGGGCTTCCCAACATAAACATTTGCAGAGAAATGGTTGAGGCAAAATTGGATATGCTGTAGAGAAGTAACAGCGAAACTTGCAAGAACAAACATGAATCTCTCAGGCCAATTAGGGAGATACGAAACTAGAAGAGGAAACCATGTCCAAAACACAAGAATCCCCATTATGTTCAATGCTCTATCAGGAACTTTTCTAGTGGAAAACAAGAGCAATAATGTTTGCACAAAGAGATTCACTCTAGCCACACACATCACAGGGTAAAATGTGAA